AGCAGAGGCCTCCCAGTCACTCCCATAAGGCCACAAAGAATCTTTCATATTTGCTACAAAATACTAAAATTACCTAAAAGTGGGACTGTTTGTTGCTCGCTAAGCGATCTAACGATTTCAAGATATTCTGAACATCGCCCCGAGTCTCCCTGGACCCGCCGTCAGCAATGTGAGCGCGTGGAGACAACGGAGGCGACCAAAAAGACGCGTTCTGTTAACTAATTTGGGCCTTAAATTGTCCAAATTTGTATGTATCTCAAAAATCGCTTGACTTACGGCAAAACGGACGAAATTTTCGCCCAGAGGGCCACAAAATGACCCCTTTCCGTTAGAAAAGTAATCTTTCACGCCACATTCTGATTCCGAAATGCGACGCTCGACTATAGCACCCTTTAAAGCAGAGTTGGTTAAATTCGGTTATAAATGACACTTCCCTCGTACAGACATCATTTCGTGGCCCTTTGGGCGAAAATTTCGTCCGTTTTGCCGTAAGTCAAACGGTTTTTGAGATACATACAAATTTGGACAATTTTTGGCCCAAATCAGTAAATAGAACGCGACTTTTCGGTCACCTCCGATGTCGCCACGCGTTCACATTGCTGATGGCCGGTCCGGGGGGACTCGGGGCGATGTTCAGAATAACTTGAAACCGTTAAATCGCTTAGCGAGCAACAAACAGTCCCACTTTTAGGTTATTTTAGTATTTTGTAGCAAATATGAAAGATTCTTTGTGGCCTTATGGGAATGACTGGGAGGCCTCTGCTGGCTTGCGGACGGGTCAGTGTGGCGTGTGGGGTTCCTTGGAGAGCTGCGGTGGCCGAGCGAACGGTCCTGGAAGCTCGATCCTCGACATAGCGGCGCTAAATGGTCTAAATTTGGCAAAATTTGGCTAAAAACGTGTTTTTCCGCTTACGCGACCCCTAAATTCATCTTTAAAAATCTGAAAAAAAATTACAGCATTCTGAATGCCAAACAGATGAAATCTATGGAATACTTCAAATAATCGTTATAGACCTTGACAATAATTTTCACAACTATTCCCCCATGAAATCCCAGAAATTTTTTCTTGTATTAATTTCTACTTTTCATTTTATTTTCAGATGTCTAGTGTGTTCCAGAAAATCCAAGAACGCCATGGTGGCCATGCCAGCAAGAGGTCGCCATCCGACCTCACCCGAGGGGCACCTTATGTATGCTACAAGTTCATGCTGAAGGCAAGCGAGTTCAAGGACAAGCAAACAAGCAAACCTGCTAGTTGCCTACTGTCAAGATAAAGACACTGGCAATAAGTATTATGTCTCCATGCCGGGCCTTTATAACAACTTGACAGATCAAGACATAGAGGAACTAAATCAACATATTGCAGCGAAGAAACCACCATTCATCGTCTTTTATGGGAAAGATGGAGCTCGCAATGACTGCATGCTGCACCAATATGGCACAAGTAAGTAAACTAACTGTATCAAATTGTTTATTGTATGATTTTTCACTAACAGTAAATCGCTTCTTTCTGTTTCTCAGGTGTTGACTTGGAGAAACTACAGAAGTACATCAAGCAGGAAAAACGTAATTCAGCAGAATTTGAAGCTGGTGAAAGTTCAACAGCCAGCCCACAAGTTAAGAAGAACAAGACTGATTAAGAAGCCCAAGAAGAATTATTTTTTTTCATTTTAGTTTTCTTTCCTTTGTTTGAATGAACTGGTCAATATCATTTAAGTTTACATTTGTTATTATTCCTACAAACTTGTTCTGGAAAAAATAAATCCAATGCAACAGTGACTCCCTTCTCTTAGTCAAAACATTTTTTCCTCAACATTTCATTGGATTTAAAAAAAATATCTCAACATAAACTTCTAATTCAGCACTTCCTCTCTTTTCGTGCTTGATGTACTTCTGCAGTTTCTCATTGTCAACACCTAAGGAACAAAAAGAAAAATAAATTACTTTTAGTGAACAATCATACAATAAAGATTTTAATAAAGTTTAGTTTACTTGTACCATATTCATGGACCATACAGTCGTTATGTGACCCATCCTTCCCATACTTATGTTATTTCTTCAAAACTCATCTTTCCCATAGAACAATGCAATAAATAGGTTATTTTAATTCCTCAACATCATCTTCCATCCAATTCTTGTACAGAGCAAACATAGAGTAGGTTATTTCTACTGAATTGTCTGTCTAGAAATTTAAAAATTCCGATATATCTAGAATTTATAAAATTATGTTTCACCTACTTTTTTATGTAAATACCTATCCTGGTTAGACAGATGAATCAAGGGTCCAAAATACACTAGACCAGGCACAATACTCGTTCTCCCACCTCCAAGAGTAAAGTGAGATTGGAGGTAAAGAACGAATAAAAATTCATACCGTCTTTGCTGATTAAATTTATCTTATTTTAAATACA